CCCTCCGGGCTTGCGCTGCAGACTCAGCTCCCAAGCTTGTGGCCTGTGTGGAGGGTCACCACAGCCCCCGGACTTTTGTGCCACGCAGGCATTAGGGGAGCCCGTCGGATGCAGAGGCCAGGACTCCTGGGCCCTGTCCCTGGCAGTGCTATGCCCTGGGGCAAAGTCCCTTCCCCTTGTGGGCCTTTGCCTGCCCCCCGAGTTTGTCTGGCCCATGGGCCGGGGCTCCACTGCAGAGACAGGTGTGGCCTTGGCCCAGGCTGGCTCCAGGAGACCCGTCTGCCATGCTGGGTGGAAGCTACCCACTGCCCCACCTGGGCGGCCCCCTCTGGGTGTGGAGGGCACTTTTCATTTCCACAAGGCATTCACCACTGGGGTGCCAGTGTCTATGCAGGGCCCAGCACGGCCGAGGCTCCATCTCTGCTGAAACGCCCCTGGCCTGCCAGCCCCTGTGAGTCCCCACGCTCGGGGGCACCAGCTGACGTTCCCGTGCGTATTGCTCTTGGAACGCCAACAGGCGGAACCGAACCTGGGCCCTCTGGAGCGCAGGGCATGAGCCTCTATCGCATGGGCTGAAAGCCAGCCGGCGCTCAGCTCAGGCTGTGGACCAGACTCATTCTCTTTCTCTGTAAATGGTCTAAGTGCTACTCCATGAGACAGTGAACTACTCCCAGTAGGTGTGTGGCTGGCACGCGCCCGTTAACCAGCAAGCCTGAGAGATCAAGGGGGCGCAGCTACCTGTGCCCTCCCGTCTCCCCCGCTCATTGTGGCGGTGAAAATGGCCAGCCCCAAGGAGTTAAAAATTCACCAGTGGCCTTTGCGCCTTGCTGCAGCATCCCCACCATCCTCCATCTGGACCTCCCTCAGTGCACCCAAATCTGCTAGCACATCCTTGGACCGTTCCTCCTCTCGTGTCAGTCTCCTGCCCTTGCAGTCCCCGGTGATCTGGGAATTTCCCTCCGCTAATGCCAGCTCCCTTCCATCTACCCCCTGCCTCTCCCGTCCCTCCGGAGCAGCAAGGGTTAACAGCCCCCTCTCCCTCGCCAGCGCTGCAGGGACCGTGTGAATGTGCTGGCTGTTGCCGTGATGAACATGTGGCCTGGCGTGAAGCTGCGGGTGACGGAAGGCTGGGATGAAGACGGGCACCACCTGCCTGACTCGCTGCACTATGAGGGACGGGCGCTGGACATCACCACATCTGACCGTGACCGGGAGAAGTATGGCATGCTGGCACGCCTGGCCGTGGAGGCCGGCTTCGACTGGGTCTACTATGAGTCCAAGTCCCACATCCATGTGTCGGTGAAAGCAGGTACCTGGAAGTGGGGTGATGACGTGGGGGGGCAGGCAGCCCCCGTGCCGGATACCATGGACCCATTGCCTTGGTTGGTGGGTGTCTTTAGGCTGACGACCCTTTGTGCAAATTCAGAAATTTGCTTCTGCTCACATGTAAGAGTGAAAACTGTGCAGCTGCTGCCACCGCCCAGCTGTGTGATTGCACAGAGGCTGTGTCCTGAGTGGGGCACAGCGCATGGCAGAGAGTGTGGGGAGCAGGAGAGGATGGATTTGCTATGTCTTCATTTGAAATCCCTCACAACCCCCTCGATTGCCTTTCATGCCTGGACCAATACCCCCAGTGGGCAGAGGACTAGGTGTGGCGATACAACCCCCTCGATTGCCTTTCATGCCCAGTGGGCAGAGGACTAGGTGTGAACTGTGGGTCCTGGGTTCTAGTCCTATCTCTGCCAATGACCTACTTTGTGACCTTGGGTAAGTCTCGTCCCAGCTCCATGTCTCAGTTTCCCTTTCTACCATTTGTCTATACAGACTGTCAGCACCCTCTCTTTGTAGGGCCCAGGGTCCTGATCTTGCGTGGTGCTTCTAGACACTACAATAATAATTGCTGCTGAATTCCTTACACCTCCCTCTACGGTTAAGGACTTCACAAAATTCTAACATGAATAGAATCATTCTTACAACTTCTGTAAAAAAAAATTCCATGCAAGAAGGGCTCTTAGTAATTGTTAAAAAAAAATCCCAATAATGTATTTTTTTAAATCCCCCCCTTCCCTTCCATGCCCCCTTCCAGCAGCCCCCAGAAACCCAGCTAGACCCTGTGCCCGAACCAGCCCGGGATGAGAACTAAAACAAACCCATCAGCACTGGAAAGTCCTCAGGGCTATTACTTGATTTCAGCGTGAACCATTTCCGGTGTGGTTAGCGACAGGAGTAGAGCTGCTCCGTGTGGTGTGTTTGCCGCTGTGGTGTGTTTTAAGCGCGGGCTTTGTCACTTAAGAGCTAGTTTGCGTTTGTGTCATTTTGTGGCCCATTTCAAACCACCCTTCTCTATGGCAGATTGGCTGGATCCTCCTGCACACACTGTTCAGTTCCTTGTGAACAGCAGGCAGTATCCTGCACGGCCTACATACACGGGGGCTGTGGTTTGGGTCCTGATGCGCCAGTGCGCGGCACCTTGCCTTGTAGTTTCTGCTGGCGCCAAGTGGAGGTAGTGGCTTACAGGGGAGTGTTGTGGACTGGTGTGGCCAACACCCAGGCTGCCACCCAATCATGCCTCTTGATTTTAACCTCCCAGGGGCAGAGCTGGGGGTGTTGTTACATCTCAAAATTTTCCCACTGAGCAGCCGCACTCCAAGGCAGGAGGGGAGAGAAAACTCTTGGATCCCTTTGGAAGTACCTTGTTAAGCGGTGGGAGAGGGGGGGGTTCCCAAGCACGGGGCCCCACTAGCCTCTTTCTGGATTGATCCTGGCAGCTGTGAGCTTGACCAAACCCGGACCACAGAAAGCTGCAGGCGCTGCTCTGCCCCCAACGTGAGTGCACCACATGGAGCCTGACTGGGCCGGGTATTGGGCTCTCTGCTCCAGAGCAAACCCCCATACAGTGTGTGTCAGGCCTTGTGCTGGATTAAACTGCCCCCGGGCGAGCCCTGTTATAACCTGGTGCAGCACTTCTGCACGGGGGAGGTCGTGCCCGGACCACAGAAAGCTGCAGGCGCTGCTCTGCCCCCAACGTGAGTGCACCACATGGAGCCTGACTGGGCCGGGTATTGGGCTCTCTGCTCCAGAGCAAACCCCCATACAGTGTGTGTCAGGCCTTGTGCTGGATTAAACTGCCCCCGGGCGAGCCCTGTTATAACCTGGTGCAGCACTTCTGCACGGGGGAGGTCGTGCAACATCTGAGCGAGGCAGCGGCAAGTTCCCCATGTGGACAGGTGGCGAGCAGGGTGCCGACACCCACCTGTGCCTCCCCGCACTAACGGCAGGCCCCGCCTTTCTGTAGAGAACTCCCTGGCCATCCGC